TTATTAGTTTACTATTAAAAGTTTTATTTTAAAAGTTTCATTCCCACCAATACTTTGCGGTAGTTAAATACTTTTGTTCTCCATATCATGTAAACAAAGATAAGAACAAATTCCATTTACCACTTAGAAATTCCTCATTCTCCTTTTGACATTATTTGTTACACAACAAAAAATGCCTTATCTTTAATAATTGATGTTTTTGAAACTATTTTATATCAGATTCTTTTTTATAATATAAATTGTTTCGAAATCGCCTCAACAACACAAACGAATTCAGCTCGTTCTTTCACATAACGGTTGTTGTTTTCAACTACATATTCACGGACAGTTTTACGTTTTATTTATTTTTCTTGTTTCGAAATAATCAACTCGAACGTTTTAATTTACCACAGTTTATAGGTAAATTAATATTTTTTTATAGCGTGACCATTAAATGTTAAAAGAAAATTGCCAAGAAAAAACGAGATTTATGAAGCGTTTAAAATAACTCTCAAGAATGTTACTATTAATGTTAGTAAACGTAATCGATGGTGATTGAATCAAATTTGAAAATAAAAAAAAAGCTGAAACGTGATCCTTTAAAATAAATTTAACTTTTGTTTAATGATTTTTTTATGTGTAATAATAAAATAATGTGTTTACTATGTAAAAGAGGGCAAAGTCAGGCGGTTTTTTCACCATCAAACAAGTCGTGATGGTCACCGATTGGTAAATTGGCCCTCGTGACTCTCACAAAGCAATTTATTCATTGCTGTGCCCCTCTTGGATTCCTCAACAACCTTTACTAAAGTTTATTTGACTTGGATTTTAATATGTCAAGTACTATATAAAATCAAATACTTTCCAAACTTAAATTTGTTTTAAAATCGTTCAATTTGTTTTAACTATCTTGTTTCCAAGACTTCTTTGTAAATGAAATCAAAAGAGGATGCCAAAAAGACATCAATTGATTCAAAATTCAAACTCAACCCATTTCTACGTGTTGCAAGAATTTAATCAAAAACCTTTCTGGATTTCAAGGAAATTCCAGAGTGTAAGATAGCAGCAAGTATTCTAATCCTTATCATTTGGAACCCATGGAGACTTTCATCCAAACCCTTGCATCAACATAAGTAATCTTTCTTGCAGAATCATTTACTTCATCTTTTATCTTGTCCATTTCTTAATTATGATATGATTTTAATTAATGTTTCTAAAAAAATATGATTTAACGATTTGAGAGTATTTAAGTGAATTTCCTGGTTAAATCCTTTTTAAAAATTTCCCCAATTATCCGAGTAAAAGCGAGTCAGAGTTGTAATTAAGCTCTTAAAAGGAGTCACCCGCGTCTCATCTATTGGATGATTGCCGCTTTGAATTGGCAGTAATTCGGCATATCCTTATTTCGAAGCATGTACAACCTTCAAAATATTTGTAGAATATAATTCTACCTTCAAATACACAAAAATCAAAAATTTTAAATTATAATATTTCGCTACAAAAAATTTTTTTTGTTTATTATGCCCGTTAATGATAGAAAGTTTAAAAACAAACTAAAAAAAGAACTTTCTATTTTTTACGTCATTGCGAATAATTCGAGTAATGCAAATATTGTCTCCTCGTCATAAAATCACGTTTTGTACATTGTTTTGTGAACGATCTCGTGACTTTATTAGTATAAAAGATAACAACGAGTTAGATAATTTTTAATTTTAAATTATAATCGAATTTCAATTGAAACAAATATTTACTATTGAACATTGTTTTTGTTAAAATAGATATTTGAAAATGTATGAAGTAGTTTTAAATTTGTTTTTCGTTGTTTTCGATTAATCTACATTCAGGACACAATCGAGACCGTTCAAACACGTGCATTACGTAAGTATTCACCCAGATACATTTACACGTTATTTGATAGCTATAGAATTTCATTAAAAAAAAATTTATATATATAAAATTAAATCCAGGAAGAAATTTAATTCCTTGAGTTTGAATAAATTAAATTTGAAATATTAACACTAATTTGCAATTCTTATGCGTACCAAACGTAAAAAAGTTTATACAATAGGTTATTAATAATTAAAAACATTGTAAAACGTGACATTTACACCGAATAATTTAATTTATGGTGTTAACGAAACGAGCAAATTTGCAAATAAATTATATTGAAATTCTTGATAAGTCACCATCAATAAAACAATTCAAAGTATGTTGTTCTAACGGGTTCACAATTGCATAGCTTCAGAAGGATATTGGCACTGAACGTGATGGAAATTTCAAATTTACTACACATCTTGAAATAGAATCAACCTAAATTAAGAAATTATAAGTTTATTAAACCCAACCTAAATTTTTAAATCAATAAGTATTAAAAAAAAGTTGTGAATTATAGTGATTTTCTCGACCGAATTTGGTACGTTAAAGTTTCTCAATCCGAGTTACGCAAACGATCTCTTTTGAGAGTTGGTGGGCAGCATCATAACATCGACCACTTTAATGTTTTTATCGGTCATTACAAGAATAAAGAAGAAAATAAAGTTACACAACTTGTTCTTTTTTAATAAATTTTTTGATTAAAATAAGTGAATCATTTTTAAATAATTGTTTTGCGAAATAAAATTAATTGATATATCAAAAAATTCTTTCACATATTACTCAAATTTACAGTAAAATGGATTTGTTAAAAATAGAAAACGCTTAAATGACATAACTTTAGGTCAAGTATACGTAACCGTTTGATTATTACCCCATTAATTAATTTTTAAACTTTCTGACATTTTTTTTATCTTGTAACCGCAACAATTTAAGTCATTTCCATATTAAATAATATTTTCGACAAAATAATTCTTTCTAGACTTCCGCAAACGTTTAGGTGACATAACTGCAATATTTATAATATTTTTATATTTCGCCGAGAATTCTTACGAAATTAATTTTTGCAATTCCTATCGAATTACTACGAATGGCTATTTCAATAGTCCTTAATCCTATTTTGGAAATAAAGTAGTTGGACCGCGTTATACATCACTTGACTAAGCGATATTTTATCGTTTTTAGAGATTTTTATGCTGTCTGGTAGGTAAAGGTGTAACTTATCTTAGAAAAAATGCAGAATACCGAAAGACCTAAAATACTATTTGTTTTAAAGGATAAAGCTAATCACGTTATACGATTTCAAGTTCGTTTTGCATCATACGTCTACAATCACTTCCGGTTTGAAACGTCAATTTTGACATATTTGTCATCTTCATTAAAAACCCTTTAAAATGAGTCCAAAGATGACGCACTTATCTCAAAATACAAAAAAGTTTGAATAAAAAACATTAAACCCTAAGTTAGCGACATGAAGATAGCAATTTAAGTTTTAAATATTAATACCAACCTTAATTTTTATTTTTTTTTATTATATTTTTGTTTTTGTGACAAATATTAAGACATTTTATAAAAATTAAGAATATGTCAAAATGACATTGACATTTCAAACCGGAAGTTCTTATATCTCGAGTAATATTGGAATTTTTCACGACGATTACAAATATGTCAAAAATGACGCTGACATTCTAAACCGGAAGTTGACCATAACTTCATTAATATTGAAGATAAATATGTCGTGTTTGTACTCATTTTAAAGTATTTTGAACGAAGATTACAAATATGTCAAAATTGAGGTTGACATTTTAAACCTGAGTTTTTCTCAACATTATTCATTTGTCGCTTAGTCAAGTGATGCATAACGGGGTTCAGTTAATACTTGCTGTGATTGCAACAATGTTACTTCAACCAACCTGATTCCAGATTAAACCTAAACTATCCAAGCCTAAGTCTAGCTTCAACCCAAATTACGCAATCCAATTGTATCCAAGTACCTACTCAGATCAAAACCGAAACCACGCAAGTGAAACTTAATATAGCATCAGCAAACCCATCTATTACACAATGCCTAAACTACCTATGCTTAATACCATGTGAAAACCACAAAGGTCATTGGTTGACACATACTATTAAGATGTGCGTTATTGCCGATTTTTAGGATTTTTTCGCTGTTTCTAGTACAATTTAAATTCAAGCCCTGAAGAAGTTTAAAATATATAAGCGAAATATTGGCATGTGCAAAAGTAATTGCTGTTTCAGTAGCCCTTAATCCTATCCTGGAGATTTATTGAACTTTCGAGGTGTTAACGGGATTGAACAAAATCTCCTGCTTAAGTTATACACAACAATAAATGGACTTGGGCTTGCATAAAATCTCAAGGTTAACAATAATCAATTATGTTTGCAATGTAGTAATACAAAATTTAGTACTAATAGATTTTAATAGATGGCGATACTGTAATTTAATACTTAATATAACTTATTATTAAAATTGAGTTTGTTTCATAACAATTTTAATCAATAAAAATTTTCATAATCTTTCTTTTCTAGAATAAACAAGGTCATGGTTGCATGTAATTATTAACGTCCCTATGTACTAATAACGAATACCAGAATACCTATTGTCATTTTAAAATGAATTCCTATGGTATAGACCGACTTTATCGAAGGTTATCGGAGATAAAAAAAAAGGAGGAGAGAAACACAACGAAGCGGAAATTTTTTACTCTCCCACCTGATCGATTTCAATCCTTGTTTAATTAATTCATATTTCCTGGGTTTAATTTTTTATAACGATCAAACCGAAAGGAAAATCTAGGATGATTGAAATCGGAAGGAATGCGAAGGCAAACAATGTATTCAATTTACGCAAGTACAAATAATATAGGAGTTGAGTTGCGATTTCGAGTCTATTAAAACAAACAATGGATTTAAAAGTCAATTTTTTTTTGTTTGGTGATAAGATTTTCTTACTTATTTTTATTTTTAATTCTTTTCGATACTAAACTATTTTTGGAAAATATCTTTAACAATACGTTTTTAACAAAATTGTTATCGATCAGAAAATTTTCCATTTTAGCTTAGTTAGTGAGTCATTTTTTTAAAGAACTCATATAACAAAAAAAAGATAATATTTAATTAATGCTCACCGGGTCCTCCATCCTGAATATGAGTCCCATGAGTTAAATGATGCAATTGAGCATAATAGTGATGGTGATGAAGAATACACTCCAAATCTGTACAATTTAACATTTTCACTAAATTAAAAATAAGAAAAAAAGTAAAACGGGAAGAAAGGGAAAAATAGAATGCGAAAAACTTAAAAAACGCGATCAGCACCAAATGGTAGGATCACATCACACGATCAAGGTAACCCTTTCCAACATCTTTCCTTTTCTTCGTGTTGTTTCGTTAAAAGTCTCGGACGGGTTTTGCGAATACGATTGAAAATAAAAATGGTATAAAACACTTCACCATCAAACGAACTGAGACACCTTCGTTCAAGTCGCAATTGTATGTGTAACTGTGTGGACGGTAGAATCGTGGGGCCGCTTTCTACTGCGAACCAACTGACTGGTGGCCTGTTGCTGTTACTCCCCACCTTAAAAAAACGGCAGCAGGTTGTTGAAGTTCTGTCGTTTGGTTGAGGTGAGGTACACAAGAAGACTTCTGGAAAAACTAATAGAAATAATAAATAAACGTATTTTCTAATACCAAAATAAATCAACAAAAATAAGTTAAATATATTATATGGGTTAAGATGTTATTTATTTATTTATTATCTTTTTTTTGGAACTTAACGGTGTTGATTAAACGTTGTTGATTTGGTAATAAGTACTGTTTGCTGTGTTTACTGTTATTTCATTTTGACACTGTGTAACAAATCAATTCGCGGGAATCCTTAAAATGATACAACAAATGTTAAAAGGGATTGATTACAAATTCTTACATAAAAAATTATAGAAATATGTTTGGTTTAAAAATCGTCTTTTTTTAGATTTTAATTCTTTAATATTTTACCTCGAATCTGCACTTTCCATCATTGACTTCCCATCCATTCAAAAATTCTTCTGCTTCATTCTGCTTTAATGAGTTCGGTTAGGTTTAGTTATGGATGGTTTCGGCTTCGTTTGCGTGGCTTAGCTTGAAAAACACATTTAGACTTGGGTTGGGAATTTTGTTAAGTTTGCTACTTACTTGGGTGTGGATGAGTTGAACTTAGTTTCAGGCAGAAGAAGTTTTCTGGCAAAAAAAATGAGATTAGAAAATTGCAGGAATGAAACTGCAGGAAGTGTAAATACAAAATGCAATTCTGCTCACATACTGGCGGTCCATTTATTTGGATTTAGTCTTGAAAAACTGTAATAATTGGAGTAACCATCATAACTCCAAGTGCAAACATGTTTGACGCTGAAATGCTTGTAAACTTCGAACAAGCATTGCTAGATGAAGACAGAAGAAGAATAAAATTCGTTGTGAACCTCGTTTTTGTGGAAGATCATGAAGATAACCCTAGATGATATGTAGTCTAAAACTGCCGATGATGCAAGTCTGATACGTCAGAATGGAGTATATTTATATTAAAGTTTCTTAAAAGTTTGCAAAACACTCAAATTCAAGAAACTTAAAATAATTAAAAAAAACCACTATCAAGATATGATGAATTTCAACATATTTAATAGTAGATTTTTATAATAAATGAATGAAACGTTTAATGAGTAACAATAGATACATTCCAAATGAAGTGGATGCACTTAGTTCCATTGAAATGAATAATTGAATTCCCCATTTAATTAATATGTTAAAAAAATTAATATGATCATCAATAAATCAGGTTAGATAACAAACGTTGATAAATCGAAAACGATAAATTTTATATGTAACGTTTAGTGTACAATTCCCGGATTATAAATCGGCGATAAAAAAAATCTTTTTTTTCAATTGCTAAAGCGAAAAACCTTTTCTTCCGAAAACATTCCTCACCTCATTCAGGACGTGATTACGTAAACATTTCTTAAGCGACACAATTGTAATGCGACTCGACCGGCGATAACTTAACCCTAATTAATCGAATTGTTGCGGAATACTTTCACCGGAAATCCAAATTGTTAAACCAACAACGCATCATCTTCTTCCGGAGGAATGCCACCGCGCGACAACAACGAAGAAGTCGACAGGTTGTTTGCACTTCCTGCAGTTTCAACGTCGTCGGCGGCCAGTTGTCTGGAGGATCCGATCTCTTTCTCTTTTCCAAGATGATTTAAGTTTACTTGGTGAACAAAGACGCAAAGTAAAACCTCGAAGGCGACATTGGCCTCGTTTCCATCGCAAGGTTACAAGCAAAATCAAGAGTAACTTTTAATGCCAACGACGAAATTGTATTTTCAATCTTCGGAAGAATAAATTTTATATTAACGTGAATAAATTATTTAAAAATTAAGAAATTGGATTAAAAATGTTGATAAAAAAGGAGTTGGTGATGCAATTTGAGTTCGATTTCTCGTTTCTATTTGGAATTACAATTTTTAATCGAGCTTTAAAAAGTTATCCTTGGATGGAGATCATTTGACACGAACTTGTCAATAGAAGTTTCCTTTCACTTGCTCCTTTTAAATTAATCGAAAATGTCTTAATAAATTATTTTCAGTTAATTAAAAAAATTAAAAAATTATAAGTATTTCAGAAGTAACACAGAAACCCATCTAAGTAGAGAAGAACATTTTCTCTTGGCCAATAAGGAAACGATGGAATTCGAAGCAGCTTCCGTATGATAATCAAATTTCCAACATCCAAAGAGCAAAATCGGTTTTCACATTTTTTTCTTCTTGGAGAAGTCGGGATTTCGATAAAAATTTCCAAGAGATCTCTCTTCCATCGTCGTCGTCGTTGTCAGATCTCGACCTTTCTCTCCATCTCGAAATAAAAAGAAGAGGTGGTCGGAATCAGCCTTGAAAGATTATCTCTCATGAAGAACTCACGAGAGAATCTTATTGTTTACAAGAAGTGATTGTTAAAATAGACCTTTGTTTTTTTTTTCTTTTATTAAATCCGGGATGATTTCTTGGAGTAATATTACATTTAATAAGATTATAATTATGTGGGGAAAAAATTGTGCCAAATCAACAAACCGCAAGAAGTAAAAGGCTTGTTGTGAGATCATCAATCCCTCGGGCTACTACTGTGTGGAATTATGAAACGTTGTTCGTGATGTTGGAGGTGAACAACCTCCCATGGGGGATCGTTAAATGACGATTCTTTATCGTCAAGGTTTCTAATTGATTTTTCTGTCAATGGAAGGGATGCAACAATTAATTGGTTTTGATAGTGGGTCAATGAAAGGAAAGAAAACGAAATGGAATATTCCAAGACTATTCTAAATAATAATTAATTAATGTACAAATGTTTTTCACTCGCAAATTCCTCAATTGCTTCTTGTTTCTTACACCATCCCCAAAATACTCATCTCCCAACCCTGCTTTACAAACATTAAAAAAACTAAAAACAAGAAATTAAATAAGAACAATATTAAGTACTAATCGCATTGTAAAAAGAGAATCTTGGTGACTAATTAATCTTTCTATACTTCCTTGTAGTCACAAAGTAAACTTTATCTTCTCCGGTTGAGTTGATTTTCAAAAATAAAATAATTGATTACATTTACATTCACGTTCCAATTTTAATAGATATGTCGCTATAAAAGTAACAAAAATAATTTTAAAATCAAAAGTGCTTTATCAATAAAATTTCAATTTCTAACACTTTTAACGATTACTTCACAAAAAAAATCCTTTGATAATCCATCTAGCTAAAAAGATTAAAAAATCTAAAATCATAAATCTATAAAAGTATTCAAAAATAATAATCACCTTTATTTCAATTCAAAATGCAAAAAAGATAAATAAAAAATATATAAAAATCACCGCGATACAATTAATTTTTTACCTGAATCAACAAAAAGAGCACTTCCCAACCCAACACCTCCACACATTTTTTTATTTAATTTCATTTTATCTCCAAATTTCATATTTACCCATCAGGATCCATTCTCGACGTATCAACATTAAACGCTGATTGCTCATCAATCGTGTCAAAAAATTCGTCTGTACTTTCAGTGGCACTTCCGGCCGTGACTAAATTCGGTCCGCTCGCTGTTTCGATCGGTTCGGATGTCTCTAATTCGTCGTTGGGTAATGGGCCAACAACCGATTCAGAAATTGTTCTTTCGGCTTCCGCTTGATCGTTACTGCTCGTCGAATCGGACGAAGATTCCTCTTCGTCCAATTCTACCTCGATTATTGAAGGATGAACACCTTGATCAGTACCGGGAAAGGAAAAAAAGGATAAATAAAAAGGGAGGAATTAATCTTTTTGAGGTAAGCTACCAATTCCGTCACCTTGGCAATAAAAGTGAGGTTCATCGTGGGATTCACCGGGGTCTTCAACGTTTGCACCTAATAATTGAAGTAACCAATTAGGAAATTGCTCGGTGTTTTCGGCCATAACTAAATTAGAAATTTAAGAATTAAAATTAAAAAATTATTTTTGATTTAATTAAATACCAACTCCATCTTCATCGTTAATATTAACACCAATTACAATTATGTTAGGTTGAATTTGATTGTTTTGATTAAGTTGATTATCTTGATTAATATGATTATCTTGATTATTTAGATTAATTTGATTATCTTGTACAGCAATTTCCGGTGGGATTCCAAATTCTTCCAACATATCGGTTTCCGAATTTGGATCAAACAGTGCTTCTCTACTCGCCATATTAAGTTCTTGATTACCATTTTCAGTTGAACTTGTACTCATTTGTTGTTCGTTATTATTTTTAGCCACATTTCCTTCAACGTTTATATTCACCAAAACATCTTCAATTAATTCTTTAGCTAAACCATCCATTTCGATTTGATTCTCCAAATCTAATTCCATTAATTCCTTAATATCCTCGCAAGTACTATGATCATTACTACTTGGAATTGTTTCATCAGCTGTGCATTCTTCAGGAATTTCAATTTTGTTTAATGTGTTATAAACGAAACATTCAAACATATTTTTAATATCCTCTTTATTAACATCATCTCGATTAATATCCTCTTTACTAACATCATCTTTCTTTTCATCTTTAGTTTCATCGGGATTTGATTTTTTGCGTTTCTTTTTTGAATCGGACGTGCTAGGGATTGAAGATAAATTATTATCATTGATTTTTGATGTTTTCCCAGCGAATAATTTCATTTTTGTGGAAGTTTTTAAACCTGATTTATTTGATTTTTTATTATTAGAACTCGATTCTTCGGATGTACTTTTTACAGAATCGGATTTTGCTATTTTAAATGATTCGTTATTTGCTTTATTGGACTGTTGATTATTTTTTTGAGAATTCGAAGTCGAAGGTTGTTGCCTGTTTTTTATGTTTGTGCCTTTTTTCGGTTTCTTTTCGTTATTCGAAGTTGTTTTTTCTGGGATTACCGTGTGGTATTGATGAGTGATTTTGTTGTTCACATCTTTTTCGGAGTTTATTTGATTATGTAATTGTTGCGGGGCATCTTGAAGGTTTTCTTCTTCTACCTGATAATAATCAAATAATTTTTATAATTAAAAATAAACTTTATATCAATTAACATTAAATAGAGGCATAGTATGGTAAGGCCTAAATCGACAATTGACGACAACCAACACTTTATTGACCAACATCTAGATGTTACAACTTAACTAATATAGGTACCTGACATTGCAGAACTTAAAAATTGCCAAAATATCATAAAATTTTGACACTAGACCAACATGATATGTTCTAAAATAAAACTAAAGATAGAGTGTGAAAAGTTTCAATGACGACGTCGGTTGAAAAGTTTCTATTAGCAGCAAAGTTTGCGTATTGCCAAACAACATCTTAATATTAGGCTAAAATTATCCCATATAAGTATATCCAATGATTAGTTGCAGCATCCAGAACTTAGATCCGGGTTCCATGGTGACTAGAACCAGAATCTAATGGTTGATTCCAGTATCTAATCGACAATTCCAGTGTCTACAAGCTGATAGCTTCGAAAATGATATAAATAAGAGTTTTGGTAGTAGATTCCAGTATTCAGTTGGTAAGTGCAGCACCCATAATGATTGGTTCCAGCATCCAGAACTTAGATCCAGGTTCTATAGTGATTAGAACCAGAATTTAATGGCTAATTTCATTATATAATCGATAATTCCAGTGTCTAGAAGCTGATGGTTTCGAAATGAATTGAATAAGAGTTTTGGTCGTTGATTTCAGATTCAGCTGATGTGTACAGCATCCATAGTGATTGGTTCTAGCACCAAGAAAGTAAATCCATGTTCTATGGTATTTAGAACCAGAATTTAGTGGGTAATTCAGTATCTAGTTGATAGTTCCAGTGTCTAGAAGCTGATTATTCCTGTGTTCTGAAACTGATAGTTTCAAAAATGATTTGAATAAGAGTTTTGGTGGTCGATTCCAGTATTCAGTTAATGAGTGCAGCACCCATAATGCTTTGTTCTGGCATCCAGTTCTTAGATCCAGGTACCATAATGATTAAAACCAGAATTTAGTGTATAATAATAATATTTTACCGAAATTGGACAATAACGATATCAGTCGATAATCAGTAATGTTGGTACGTTCGCCATGTTTGAATGCAGGAACAATGCGTGAGAGCTTCCAAAGTTTAGGGAACGAGCAAGTGCTTAAGAATAAGTTAATTATTAAATGAAGCAGAATTGCAAAAATAGGTAACGTTTATTGGATGATTCCAATATCCAGCGAAAGGGACCGGTACCCAGTTTTTGCCTCAGTATCCAGTGATGAATAAAGTTGAAGTACTAAGTAACAAAAACTTGATAAAAAAACTTGCAAAATACAATATTGCGGGGAATATTACAAAAATTGTAGCTACTCAATCAACACAAACAAAAATTATGCGTTTATACAAACTAAATATATGTGTTAATACATGGTTTGTTTGAAAATATTCTTTGTAGAAAAATGAAGGGTTGAAAGTTGATTCAAGGATAACACTCTATCAATATAAATAAAACAGAATTGGTACATTTCGCAAAGAAGGGAAAGTTGGGTCCTTAATTTCTGGTTGAATGGATACAAAATTTATTAATGTTGTTATTTTAGATGTATAAAGGTTCAATAATGTAAATCGTTGCACACTTTCTCGCTCCAACTACCGCATCATCCGTCTTCTAGCCAATCTCTCTTCAATATCTGAAACTTAAAAAGCAAATAATTCCACAATGTAGCAAGTCATTTCTTCCCTCATCGTCCTTTCTTCCAGTATAGTTGTTTAAATTATGATTTTTAAATCAAGAAAAAATGTTGTAGAATACAAATAATTTTCTTTTTAGTATTATTGTGGAGAAACCCCTCAGGAAAATTTATAGATGGAATAAAAACAAACCCATTTTTAATTTACATATATTTTATAAAAAACAAATTAATAATAAAACAAAGATTTCTTCATTTACATATAACGAATAAATAACCAAGTAGAAATAAACAAGAGATTCGAAAATTAAAAATAAAATTTTTACTTTGTTACCTTCTCATCGTTAATTTTAACACCACCGGAAGCATTCAAATATTCTGAGTCCCAATCGGATTCTTCCAAAGCGGATGTTGACCACGGTATTTTAAGAGGTTGTTCATCGTTCGAATCAGCATCATCAGGGCGAGAATTTCGATTATTCATCGTTGCATCAAGTTCGTAAACGACGCAAAGGGTTTTTTCATCACGACCACTCTCTAAACAACATTCTTCAATACGGAATTTTTCCTTCTCCAGCAATGTTCTACCAGATAAAAATTTTCTCGTTGTGATTTATTTTTTATTTAATTTTTTTTAAAACTCACAAGAAATTTTGAAATTGTCACAAATGATTTTTTATTGTTAAATTGACATTTGATCTTTTTTTTAACTTACCGTACTTCTGAACCTGTCGTAAAACATCCTTCATCATTTGAAATTAACATGTACAGTGGCATTTCAATTCGATCTGTGTTTTCATTATAAAATCTTGAATAAGGAGTTGCTACTGAATAAATTTTGTATAATACTTCATCTAAAATCCGTTTTTCTGGGGATCTACTATCAATTTCATAGGGATATTCAACAACTTCAATTTCTTTATAAAAATTTCCCATTTGTACAGGACAATCATTCCCAAAAACACGATTTTGTTGCGAAATTTGATCAGTTTCATAAATACCTAATTGTTTTGTATAACTATAATAAGTACAAATCCCAAAAGATTCTTTATTAACCCCTAAAGGTTCCGCCGGGGGAGTTATTTCATCCACAGAAATAGAATTAAGACAATCTTTTAGAAACACAGCATATTGAGTACAAAACCCAACCTTTTTATGATTATTTGGTGGATTTCCAAGTCCATCAAAATAAACTTGATAAGTCGGAAAGCGTTTCGTTATATTTCTACACCAATCTTCAAATTGATCTCTATTCCATTCAAATTTATGATCGAAATGTCTGAATCCATCGTTACGACCAAAAACAACATTAAATTCAGCATTAGGAGTTGTTAAAACAACCAATAAAGGTCGGATAAAACCAAAAATATTAAACGGCAGCGCTTCTAAAGTATCCGGATATAAATGCTCAATCCTACAATTACAAAAATAATTTATAATTCAAAATAATCAACTTATTTTTCATTATCACATACAATTCAATACCAATAACAGCATCAGCACCCTTTACTCGATAATCAGGATCAGAAACACTTCCGCATAAAAGTTTAACAGTAAGTTTTTGAGATCTCTTCTTTAAGAAGTCAACATTTAAAGGGCGAATATTAAATCGATGCTCGCGAAGAACATCCTCGTCAATATCGACACAAATAATTTCACTTATTCCAAAGAGATGTTTCATATAAACGAAAAAGTGTAACTCGCTGCATCCATAATCAACGATTTTTCTTATTTTTGGTCTATACTTTTCATTAAGGAGAATTTGTTGAACGGTCGCATAACGTTGTTTATATAAAGGCGGATCAAAACGAACGCCAAAAGCGTCGTCGGAGGTGATGCTGTTTTGAAACATAACCTCACTCGCCTTCGGATGACATTTTGGTTTGTGGGTTTTCGCCACTTGCGATTCCTTGTAGATCTTGCGTAAATAACGAACGATAAAATACAACGTGTGGAATACGATGATCATTGTGCATTGCCTTTATAAAAGAAATTGGAGAAAATTTGTGTTTCAAATAAAATTTGAAATTTGTTTGACTTTGACAAATTAAATCTATGTATAGGTACCAACATTATTTTTTTTTTCTTAATTTAATTAATTAATTTTAGGTTATTTCACCTTATATTATATTCAATTGATTAGTCATAGCCTTGGAGTTATATAATACAAATTCTTGTTATTAAGATTTAAAACTATGTAAATATTTATTTAAATTTGTATATTGGGTTGCATAACTTTTAACTAAATCGTTTTACTTCATTGAAATCATAAATCTTTTTTGATTTTATCATTAAAAAGCTGTCACCAAGCCGTTTAGAAATCACTACCTATATATATACAGTCTAGAAAATCATCTATCACTGTTCAAACTGCAACACGTGCCGTCTTCTGGTGATTTATGAACAACACACATGGTTGATGGCAAAAAAAGGGGAAAGTCCCCCCTTACAAAATTTGCTTTTAGATGCAAATATGGAGTTCGTATTTAATTTGGTTTGACTTTTTCTCCTTTAGATAGGGGAGTCCTTAAGAGGTAAGGTCCGTGCGAAAATTGGCCAATTAGCCGGACTTTTACCGGATTATGGGGGATGCTGGACAGCACGTGCTGAAAGGAGACTTGAATCCTAATTTTCCTTAATCGATTTAACCCCATATAAAGGTATAATTCGATCAGATTATTAGGAAAGAACGTCGGATGAAGGAAAAACGTTTTTATATTCGAAATATGGGGCGAATATGGGAAGCAAAAGTGAGTTAAATTGGATATAGGTATAGAAAATGGGGGAATACATCTTTTCTTATTTCCCCATTGGAAATTCGATTTGTCTTTAGTTTGAGTCGGTAGGTGACTTCAAAGAGGTCCTCTTGGTATTAGGCAAAAAAAAATCGATTTAGGGTAAACTATATGGGAAGATAAAGGGGAGAATCTAACGACAATTTAGGGATTTCTTTTTGAATATTCTTTTCAATCATACGGTTCGATACTTTTAAAAATAAATTGTTGTAGTTTCCTAGTTCAACTAAGGGGGGATAATTTTAGAAATTGATTTAGGAAGTGTCTGAAGTGGTAATTATTTGTTTCGAAGACTTGGAGGATTACGTCGTTACCAGTTTCATACATCTTATTAAGTGAGGTTGGAACGTACTCGAATCTGCAAAATTTGCATATACTCGTTGGGAAAGTGAGGAAATTTAGTTTGAGTATCTCTTTGTTCGTTGAAATTTAAAATTATCCCTTAGAAACTAAAAGGGGTTGTTGGTCTTTGATGCATATTAATTCAAGTTTTGCTTAAAAGAAAGAATTTGAATGAATCAAGATTTATATAACCGTGTCTAAGTTGAAGTGAGTCGATTAACGTTCGATTAACAACTCGATGTATCAACTAACAAAGAGTAACATTATTGGATATATCTATTTGTTTTACTTTTTGAGTTGGAAAAATCGATCTAAAATGCATTTAGTCTATGCGCAGAAGTGCAACTAAAGGGTAGTTGCACCACTAGCACATAGTTTTAACTAGGTCAGTACGTCAGTAGAGCAAAAGCTTCCATTCTGGTGAGGTGTTTCTAAATAAAAAGATTTTTTCATTTAAAATTCTTTTACATCATTAGTTGAAGTGATTTTAAAAGTGTTTTTCTAAAAATTTCGTTTAGATTAAATTTAAAAATGTGTTTGAATAAAATAAAGTTTTTAGTGTTAATCCATGCGGATATCAGTGGGATCTTTGCGGTTTTGGAGGTTGTGGAGGTTCTGGAGGTCAGAAGTCGTCATCATTGGAGGGTAAGTGCTCATTGAAAATTTATTCAAATTTGATTTGGACGCGTAGTAAACGCGCAAATGCGAAATGCCTGTCTTAAAAGCTGCCACCGAGAGGGTCCTGTGGGATTACATTCCCGTTTCACAAAGACACGTGCCACATAGATCCGACGAAATTTGCATATAAGTTATTTGCATAATACGCCCTTTTCATTATCTCGCTAAAACTGAAAACCAACCCTTTTAGAGTGTCAATATAAACTATGTGTTATAAAAAAGCTTTATTATCTTGTGGATTTGATGGTGAAATTTTGGTGTCATATCCGGTCCATATCTCCCCTAAAAGTCCAAAAGAGAGTTGATAGGCGTTGGGGCGTGACTTTATCATGATTGGGGACGATTGAATTTTCCCGTGTTTTCCGCACGTTTCCACCGGAAGATTAAGATTTAATAGGCGTGGAAATCGGGTCGACCCCAAAAAAACTCAATCCATTTCAAATCCTACACTAGAATAAAAAATAAAATAAAAAACTTTCATTTTGACAACGTAGTCAAATTTTCATCAACGTTTCAAACACGATCTTAGCCAATTTCATGTAATTACGTTATAGTTAGATTTAGGGGGTGTGTCGAGAATTGCTGAACCAGCTACAACAAGCTTTCAGAGTGGGATGAGTTAGAGGAATGGAGAGACGACCGATTCATCATAATCGCTTGTTTATATTGCATATTAAGCGGGACCGAAGCCCGGAGTCAGTAATCTACCAGCCACTGTTAGTCGGTAAACACATTAAACACGATGTAGTAGTAGAGTGTTACGCCTTTAAGGTATTCACCCGAAACTCTGTAATCTTGTTAGTGAAGACAACTACTAGAGGAGATACAACGACAAGGATTTACGAAACTAATTCGTAAAGATGATGATACAAAATCTGATTTGATGATTAATTAGTTAACTAGTAGTTATTTTGTTAATATATGTTGTTGTGTATTCATTTTTAGCGATATTTATCAATAAATCTAGTCTCTAAATGTATATGCATGTATCATTAATAAACGACAAAATTGAGATTAATTTAAAAAAATTATAACTCAAAAACTAAAACCGATTTTCAAAAACGGGGTTCACCATCGAAAAAATGACACTTTCTTTCATAAATATTCTAATTTTTAGATTGATTGGGTAAGAAATCGATTTTTTTAAATAAATGTTGTTCCTAAAAGTATGATTAGGTTTAAAAGTTTATATCTCAGAAATGAAATGAGATTTTCAAAGACGGATTTCACCACGATAAAAGAAACAATTTTCTTTATGTATCCTGAAATGTTCGTAACTATATTCCAAGAAATGAATTTTTAAGGAATTTTGATATTTTATGGAAAAAAATGGTTATCGTTAAAATCGATAAAATTTTGATTAATTTAAAAATATTATAACTCAAAAACTAAAATCGATTTTCAAAAACGGGTTTCACCATCGAAAAGATGATACTTTCTTTCTTAAATCTTCCAATTTTTAGAATCATTGGGTAAGAAGTCGATTTTTAACGATTTTTTTTAATACATGTTGTCTCTAAAGGTATGGTTAAGTTTAAAACTTAATATCTCAGAAATGAAATGACATTTTCAAAGACGGATTTCACCACGATAAAAGAAACAATTTTCTTTATGTATCCTGAAGTGTTCGTAACTATGTTCCAAGAAATGAATTTTTAACGAATTTTGATATTTTATGGAAAAAAATGGTTATCGTTAAAATCGATAAAATTTTGATTAATTTAAAAATATTATAACTCAAAAAGTAAAATCGATTTTCAAAAACGGGGTTCATCATCGAAAAAATGACACTTTCTTTCATAAATATTCCAATTTTTAGATTGATTGGGTAAGAAATCGATTTTTCACGATTTTTTTAAATAAATGTTGTTCCTAAAAGCATGATTAGGTTTAAAACTTTATATCTCAGAAATGAAATGAGATTTTCAAAGACGGATTTCACCACGATAAAAGAAACAATTTTCTTTATGTATCCTGAAATGTTCGTAACTATATTCCAAGAAATGAATTTTTAAGGAATTTTGATATTTTATGGAAAAAAATGGTTATCGTTAAAATCGATAAAATTTTGATTAATTTAAAAATATTATAACTCAAAAACTAAAATCGATTTTCAAAAACGGGTTTCACCATCGAAAAGATGATACTTTCTTTCTTAAATCTTCCAATTTTTAGAATCATTGGGTAAGAAGTCGATTTTTAACGATTTTTTTAAATACATGTTGTCTCTAAAGGTATGGTTAAGTTTAAAACTTAATATCTCAGAAATGAAATGACATTTTCCAAGACGGATTTCACTACGATAAAATAGATCATTTTCTTTACCTGTTCTGAAATTATCATAATAACATTCCAAGAAATGTAGTTTTCACGACTGCACGAAGAAATTGCTTTACAACTTTCTAGAGCCAGATAAGCGATCTCCGGTGGTGCTTAACTTGACCAAAAACGTAGTGTTCCTAGTGTTGAACTATTACCTCATCTATCAGTAACTTAATTAGGCAAAATCCAACATTTTCTATTTTTCCTACTTCGCTTGTGGCCGAGGCATTTTAATATGGTATTAGTGACAACATCTCGAACATTCGTTGTTCAATTTCGTACTGGCAAGGGACCTCGAGTTCTAAAAAGAAATCTAAAATATTATAAAGTTCAAAGTAAATTAAGTTATGCAACCATTTTAACAAAAAAATGTATTACAAAAATGATTTAAAGTTTTAATTCTATAAAAAAAGATTAAAATAAAGTTACTTTAGCAACATTAGAAATTAATCGAAGCAAAAAACAACATGGTGAAAACAAAAACGAATCAAAACAATCAAAAACATATCACAATCATGTTTTGTTGTTTTCCCCCACTCAACTGATTTCGTTTAGTTTTTTTTTGTTATCAAGTAATGTAAGTAAAAACAGTTTTAGAGTCGATTGATTGTTGTAAAAATTGTTGTAGTAGATAACGCATCAATTATCTTATCTATTTAGCGAAACATTTCCAGTAAAAATCTACGTTTTTAACTAAAACATAACCCTAAAATAACATTTTACGAGTTTTCAACACACATCAGCAATTTTTCTTTGCTATAAATAAATAAACCGGCTTATTCATCGTTAAATTTCACTCAAAAATCGGTGCCTACACGTTTCATCTGCCCAAAACGTAAGTTTTCTCTATTTATATAAAATTTAAAATACTTTTCAGTACTTCCCTAGATTTCATACTAAAATGATCATAAAAGTTTAAAAAAAATGGTATGATTCATTTTGTTTAATTATTTTTTTATCAGTTTTTTTTTGTTATAGAAAATAAAAATGTTAGACCTTGAAGTATTAGAAAATCTTCGTTGTAGCACTTGCCATAACTTCCTTTGTGTTCCACCAATCTATAGTTATGGAGGTGAACAAAATATATGCGGAAGATGTCCAATAAAAGAAGAATTTGCACCACAACGTGCGATTTTATACGAAACGGTGATTAAAAATCTCGAATTTCCTTGTCAATTTGAAATGAGGGGATGTCCAGAAAAGATAATACCCGAAGCTATGGAAGCACACGAATTAATATGTTCATTTCGACCAATTTATTGCCCACAAATTGAGAAATGTGAGTTTCAAGGTGCTGTCGAAGAGATTTCTACTCACTTCGAAGATGAACATCCTGATGGAATCTTTAAAAATGTCGAAATTGATGTGGTTAATTCATATGAAAGAAATTATATTTTTTGGGAAGGAAATGATACATTTGTGATTGCTTTAAAATGCATAACTGATGTTGATGAGAAACTATTTGTTCAAGTTAAATATTTAAATAATGAAAAATCAGCTGGAAACTTTAATTTTAATTTACAGTTTACAAATAAACACAAAGATTTTTTTAATATCACCGGGAAAGTTGTTTACTCAGAAAAAAAATCAATTGAAGCACAAAAAGATTATGAAACAATATTAATAAAGGATCTGTTAACCAATTTAAATCACCCAGCAATTATTTTTTCAAATATAAAAATGATTAGAAGTCGTCCCTCGGTTCAACGAGTAGTCTCACAAATTGAGTCAAATTTATTGTTAGCTATTGAATGTCCGGTTTGTTTTTGCCATATGACTCCACCTATTTTACAATGCACGAGAGGACATAGTTTTTGTAAACCTTGTCATGCGAAATTGGACATTTGTCCAATTTGTCGCCAATCAATGTCGGATACTCAAAACTTTTTATTAGAAAATCTTACCTTAAAAATTGATTATCCATGTAAATTTCAACAATTTAATTGCCAATTTTACGGGAGCGTCGATAAAATACACCATCATGAAAAGATCTGTTCTTATCAACCGACTTCGTGTATTTTAAACGATTGCGATTGGAACAACACTTTCCCCCATCTTTTAGAACATTTAAAAACGTCTCACCACGATGAATTCTTAGATGTAACAACAATAACATATTTTGTTGATCTTCAAACTGAAGAACCCTACAATTATGTGATTAGTAAATTTGGAAATATTTTTAAGGTTGTTTTTAAAGAAGACCAAGATTGTTATAAATGGTGTTTACAATTAATCGGACCGGATGTTGATCCATCCATGTTCGTTTTGGAACTAGATATTAAATCTGCTGTTAATTTCGAAAGAGTTTATTATAAGAAAAAATGTAATCCCCCGATTACGATTGGCGAAGAATTTATTGATAGAGATTCGTATGTTAAACTTAATAAAGCAGTTCTCAAGGGAATGATTGTGGACAACTTGTTGATTTATTATTGTAATGTTGCTCAAATATAAGGCTTCTTTGATAAGTTGTGCCAATTAGTTAATAGAATGTGATTTATTTCAACCACTTTTGATAAATAAAAACTTGTTTTGAAATTTTTGTCGAATTTTGTTCTCAAATTTTCAAAAATCATATCGCAACAAATATGAAATCAAGCTTTTAAAATATAGCCAGGTCATTACGAGACTTTTTTAAAAGATCTTCACATGTTCCTTTTTTTATGTCTTTGACATAGAAGAGACTAACGCTCAAGACGGATTTTACCACGATAGAACAAACAATTTTCTTTATGTATCCTGAAATTATCACAACTATATTCTAAGAAATGGATTTTGAACGAATTTTTATATTTTATGGAAAAGAATAGTTATTCGACAAAATTTTGATTAATTTAAAAATATAACTCAAAAACTAAAAACGATTTTCAAAAACGGGTTTCACCATCGAAAAGATGACACTTTCTTTTATAAATCTTCCAAGTTTTAGAATGATTTGGTAAGAAATCGATTTTTTTAAATAAATGTTGTCCCTAAATGTATGGTTAAGTTTAAAACTTTATAATATCTTAGAAATCTGTATGAAATAATGTCAAAATCCTTGACACAAAAAAAAAACGATCACAACCGTCAAAAAGTGTTGCTAAAGATCTCAATTTTAAATTTACAATGAAGAGAACTTCTCGTTTAAAAAGACCGACATCTTCAAATCAAGCAGTTGATGCCGATGGAAGTCTTGTATCATTTCAAAGTTTTGATAAAAAATCTGACGATGAACGCTTGGCATTTATTGATAGTATCAGATACAGTTGGGCATCAAAATTGGATTTTATTTGGTCCGCATTAACGTGTATTTTTTCCGTGGATGCTTTCGACATTCTCATCCAACTGAATCCTCTCGATCCCGGAGTGTATCATTTTATTATAGCAGTTTGTTTCTTTGCACTTCCAGTTTATTATATGCAACTGTTATTGGGACAGTACACCCAACTTGGGGTTATATCCCTTAAATATTTGAGCCCGATTGCGCACGGCGTTGCAATCGTTTTCATTATGAATTTATTTCTCAGGACGATAAGGCAAAGTATTCTTTTAGATGATGCGATAGTGTATTTCATCACTAGCATGCAAAGTGAGTTGCAATGGTTGATGTGCCCACCAAAAAATGATAGGGAGGGATGCCAAAAAGTGCCTTGTTACGATGGAGTTGTTAATTGTTCTAATTTGCTTTGTGGTAATGGAACTAAGTTGCATTTATCAGCCGAAATTTTTTATTAGTAATGATTTAAAATGATTAATTCTTTTTGTATTAATAATTTTTTTAAGCTCCCATTATAAAAGTAATATGGCAAGAGATATTAGTACTGTTACGGTGGTAATGCCTGAGTTTCAAAAAATTGCTATTCACGGTATTTGTTGGTTTTGTACTTGCGTTATATTAATTTGTACAATTAACCATTACATCAAGGTAAAAAAATTTAGTTTTATTAATAATATTTTAAATTTATAATTTGTAGGTGATCAAAATTCTTCGTGTAACCACAATGATATTGCTTTTAGTGTTAATACTGGCGGTGACCGTTCCAAATTTAGGTGAAACTATATCTGATCTTTTCGCGATCAAACCAGAATCTTTAACGAATATCGATGCGTGGTTAACAGCAATTCCTGCATCGTTTGAAGTTTTAGCGGTGGGAAGAGCTTTCCATGTCATTCACGGTTCTTATTTAAAACCTAGCGAGTCTTGGACAATGTATGCAATCATCGTAGTGATTTTACATTTTGGATCTTTAGTGGCTTGTTGTCTTTTTACAACAAGTTGCATACAAAATGTATCTAAATATGCACAAATTGATGATGAACATCGACATCTTTTTTTTAATCATGGAAGTCAAGTACTTTTTGTTGCAATACCTCAAGCGATTGGGTCAATGGGAATCCCTCAAATGTGGAGTTGCTTATTTTTTGCCATTATTATCATGATTAATATTAGCCAACAATTAGCCCATTTAACTTTTATACAAATGTCGTTGAATGATATTTATCCGGGAATGGTGAGGTATAAGAAATATGGGGTGATTCTTTTTAGTATGAGCAGTGGACTTTTAAGTTGCCTACTTTTAGCACCTGTAATGAAAAAAATTGTTTCGATTTTTATTTTAATATCATTATCTTTTTAGGAGTCTTACGCAGTTTTTGTTGTAACTGTTAGATATTTACCTCACGATTCCACCGCGATGAGTGTAATTTTAATGACATTTTTTGTGTGTTGGGTTTACGGCGTGCAAAGATTTTGCGATGATATCCACTTTATAACCGGGCAACCACCAGCTATGATATGGAGAATTTGTTGGTACATCTTACCATTTACTTTAATCGTAATTTTAAAAATTATCAAATTAATTTCAAATAACCAAATTTCTTTTTAGATCACATTCGTTCAATTTAAACTTCGCAGATACACCTACGACAGTGTTAGTCTCTTGCAAATCGTTTTATTAGGAATATTCACCTGCCCGGTACCAATAGTTGCGATCGTTGAAACGTTTAAATTCATCAAAGCGAGAGTGAATAATTAAAAATTACTCAATTTACTTCTTTTTGTAAGTTTCTTTTTAGAATTTAATTGGGTTATTTCAACCCCATGAAAGATTCGGCCCACCTGATTACAAAGAACGAGAACTAAGACGATTATTTAATCCAAGAACAGAAACTAGATGTAGAAGAAGAAATCAACTCTGCAAACACCGCTGTTTACTCGGCAGCAAAGTAATTCATTTAATAATTATTAAAAGTTTATTATTAAAATTTTTTAGCCCTTATCAATGATAAAAGAAAACGATATTGAATCTTCAATTGGCGATTCTCACTTTGAGGATGAAATTATATTTGAGGAATTAAAATAGTTTTGAGAAAATTAAACAATATGTTCTTGGTGATGTCTCAAGAGAGAATTGAGATGTCATAATAATGGTTAAATTAAATTATTTTGATTTATTAAAATCGTATATAATCATAAATAATCTTAATTGATTCATTAAACATTGTTTGTAGGCCATGAAATTAACTGGGACCGTATAAAACAAAAATCAAACAGTTATTAACGTTTTTTCTTTTAGTTAACTTTTTTCTTTCTCATTTCTTAACGAAATGGTTCTATCCAAAAAATTTTTGTTTATAATATTATTTTTTATGATTTTTGATGTATTTGCGCAAAACAATGACGATGACGAAGATAAAAAAGAAATGATTTTAGATAAACTTGTAAGTAAACTAATACCGATAAAAAATTATTTTTTATTTTATTTTATTTTTAAAGAGAAATGTGGCTGATTCCGTGGTTAAATCTGCAAATAGAGCTTTACCATTCATGCATGTTGTTTTAGACGCGATTAAAGAAGGATTAAATGACGAGGAAGATGAGAAAGAATAAGTTAAAATAAGAAAAATTATTTTTTATTTAATTAAAGAAATTGAAATAAGTAAGATAACTTTTATTTATTAATTTTTAATCTTGGATGTTTAAATCACCCGGATTTGGATGCATCGCATTTTCAAAATCGCCGGAAACGCCTTCGGTTGCGGCACAAAATTTAAATTGGCCCACTCCGCAAACAGCAGAAATAACGGGAATTATTGTTTTTATTATTTCGCAAATTTTTTCGATGGCACTCGTCACTTTTACGGAGTGTTTACCTAAAGTTGTTCCGATGTTACTTGCTACTTGACCAAACTTCAATAAAGTTCTTCTCTAAAATACAACAGAAATAGATACAAAAAATTAAAAATTTATAATAAAATTACCAAAACTCCTGGTCTTTCACTCGTTGCTTCATCATCGATTTCATCTTTTGGTTGTTCGTATTTCGTTACGATAACATCACTTCTTATTCTTTGATCGAAACCCAAATCTCGTGATTCAGAGGATTTGGTGAAATAAATAATAAAGATGAGAAAATAAAAGGTTTTAAACAACATTTTTAAAAGAATTAATGTTGAGGCGTCGAAGAGTTTTGATGGAATAAGGAAAAAAAGTGTTGTTTTTCAATTTTAATTTATTAATCTTTGTTTTATTTTTTTTTGTGGTTCTTGCGGATTTTCCTTATCTTTTTATTTTTTAAATAATGCAATAATTTGCGTTGAAATTGATTTATTCTTATTTGTTAGAAAATCGTATAATATTTAACTTTCTCATTACATCCACACCGGAGAGCTTTCCGTATCCTTTTCGCTTCCATGCTTCTAGTTCCTTAATGAAATTACTTGGACTCATCCGTTTCCTAACAAGTAGTCAAACAGACCGCCCCAATCAACGCAGGATTTTAATTAGGTGCGATTAATTAACACGTGCAGACACACGTTGTAACTCTCGCAAATTTTAGGACGTTTTACTTTCCGGCTTAAACGCGAGTGATGACAGTTACTGGTTTGGGTGTTAATCAAAGAGCTCTTCATCAAGGGATGTTGAATGACAAACCTCGAGGTTTCCCCGAGAGGGATGTCACGGATTTACTAATCAATGTGGACTCCTCCTTCTCTATTCGAACACGTTTGAGTTGGTGACAAATTGTGGAGGAGGCAAAAAGATTACTAAATCTTGATTAAATTTACTTCAAAATACTTTTTATTTCATTATTACATCTTAAAACGTTCTTGAGATGCGACTTTTACAATTTTTTTCTTAAAATTTATGACAATGTCGCATACAGAGTTTAAGTTAAAAAATCATAACACCCAAGTTTTTGGAATGTAAGAAATTATTTTTGGTGTATTGAATCTACATTAAATTTATTTTAAAATGCTTTTAATTTCATCGTTGTATCCCTTTACATTTAAGAAATATATAAAGTCGAAACTTGGTGAAACAGAATTGAGGCGTTTTTGATGAAATGTCAGAAATTTAACGATTATTTATTTTTGTTTTAGTTTTTAAGCGTCTAAAACAAGATCTTACTTTCTCTGAGCTCGTTAATTTGAGTCATCCATTACTCCTGCGTCCAATTTTGTTTAAACCTCTCACCCCTACCACAGAATAAATTAAAGTGCAGTTTCCGTTGTGTTTTTACGCGACTGTAAAACCGTCCGTTAATAAAATTCTCGCACCGCTTAACGACCCGCCATAAACCGCAAACGTTCGTCCCATACCGAAAACGAAACCCCATACTTCACCCCCTTCTAACGTTGAAAACGTTGAACACATTGAAAAACTACCCAAAACAAAGATGCTTTGGTATATCTAAATCGAAATCTGCAAATATCGCGTATCCGGCTGTGGATTTCTAGAAGACCTAACGAGGAGGACGCATTTTGAATAAAGGCTGGTACAATGAATAAGGGAGAAATTGCAAAGGGGGTGGATGGATTACGACCCGGAAATATAAGTAGGGCAGAATCTAACAAGTGAATTTCTTTCTTTTCAGCTCGACCGGGTACGGACACAATGTGGGTTTTGCCTGAGGGGGTTACTTTCATCAAAGGGTGAAACTCCGGTAAGTCCTCAAAAAACGTCTTTCGTTGGGCCGATTTCTTTTTTATTTATATTTAAAAATAGCAAAAATCTACAAAGTTGTTCTTTAACTTTTCCCAAAATCAATAAACAGTGAAAAACAATTTCATCTGTTGGGGTGAGGTAACCTCTTCAGGGGCAAAAGGTCCCTTTTGCTTTCTCGGAGAGTACTCAGAGCATAACGAAAGCTGTCTTCCCTCATTTCTGCTGGTCAATCACCAATTGTCTCATCGTATTTCCTCTGCGGGCAAACTCCGTTGAGGGCCGAGTGGTCCCCATTGTCCCAAAGACCTTAGTGACGACCTGAGTCCCGAAGTAACCATAACGACTGAGCGCGACGAGGAAAATAAAATTAATTTAACTAATCCATGGTAAGAGGGAAGTCGAAAATTTCTCTCTCGTTAAAGAGGATTATATTATTATTATTATACCCGGTAACAATGTTGCGACGTTTTTGATGATCAATAAAACTTTTTCCTCTTTTTATTCGCGTACGCCCATAAAAAAATCGGCACAAGATAACGGGCGATCAAAATTTATCGCTTACAAAATATGTTGCTAATAATCCAGTTGTAAAAAATTTTACAACCCCCTTACTTTACGGATCTCCCCCGTTAAGAATTCAAAAATAGGGGTTTTAACGACAATCAATATTTTTTTTCCGCGGTTTATAACGACGTCTCAGGAATAACGAGCCTTATTTTGGATACGTTATACACAATGTCCAAGAGAGACTTAGGAAACCCTAACAATCTGCGTACTTGAAGGCTTCTAAAACCACCCTTCACGAGGATTTTTCGAGAACTCGGAAGGTCATTCGATGCCCAAAATCCGCTCCTAATATGAGGGGAACAGCACCGTAATTAGGACTTCCCTAATACACTTTCCGGATCCGTCAAAATCATAAATGACCTTTTAGACTTCGTTATTTTGAGGACACGGTGGGATTATTAAATTTCAGTTCTACGATATATACCACGTGTGCACCCCAAAGGCTTCCTAAACTTTTCCTCCCCTCCCCTTTTAAAACCCCGTTTTCAATGAGAATATTGAATTATTATAAGGAAATTGAAAACGAAATTGTCGGTTATTTGAATCATCCACCTGATTTTATTTTCGTTATTTCATTAATTAAAACTTTGCAAAATTCCTGCTACTATTTAACTTAAAAATGAAGTTCTACAAACATTTAAAATATTACAGACTCACCTAGTTATACATAAGTGTATATAACTTTTTATCCCCAAATCTGCATTTTAAGAATAAAAGTTTAAAAACTCCTATCTCAAGAACGTTTTGAGATAAAACAAAGCAGCATTTAAATTTCGACTCAAGAACGAAATAATTTCAAAAAATATCTTATACGATTTTTTTAAAGTATCTAATAGGATTTAATTTGCTTTATATTATATAAACTTAAAATTTGATGAAGAAAAATTACAAATTCTCCAATAATTTAATCAAGAAAGAAAAGATGGTGGAAAAGCTGAGTTTGCTAAGATTAAATTTAACAAGATTAGTTTTCCTTCATTAATCACCCAATAAAAAAAGTTAAAGAATCTCGCGTTTCGTTTTTATTAAGAACCTAAGTGAGACACACGATCCCTTGCTGCTTATTTTTTCCCCTTTAATTCGAAATTCCAATTTATTTTCGATTATTTCGAGGAAATAGCAGATTCATTAATACCAATAAAATCGGCCTCGAAACCCTCGTTATTTCGCATTAATCTTTGCCTCTACTTACATCGGCAACTTTAAGTACCTCCGAGTACCTCAAGTTATCTAAATCTAGGAACGTTGAGGGTTATGTCTGTAAAGTGATTGCGCTTGAGTTACTCCGATTCGCTTCCGGGGCTTCCGGCACGTTGTCTTCTACGACAGAAGGGGTGAGAAGTACTGTTGTTAACTAGGAAGAAGTTAAAACGGTTTTAGTGTCTTGGATGTGGACCTAATGGAAACGTCACCCCTTCTCCACACGTTCACTTAAAGAGGTGCCAACAAGTCGGCGTGGAGAAACTAGAAGATTTCGGGAGGTGTCTTTGCCACCATTTGCAATTAGTGATTTCGTCCTGAAACGTCACCGACACACAATTCTAACTTGTCTCTCTCTTTCCCCCTTTAAGGACCCACTTGTTAGGGACACTTATTTGCGGGACAACGACTACGACGACGGCAACGACGAGGACGACGTCTGGGGTTGAAGCAAGAAGTCTACCACGCCCCAACGTGTTCGGGACAAGTTGTTTTTAATAAATCCCAATTCGACGATTCATCCGAGGGGTTGCGATTTCCCTATAATCGTCCATGGGGTTCTTGTAAATTAGGAACGAATGGACTTTCACAATTTCATCCCTTCCCCAAATTCGGACTGTTCTAGAAGTTTTAGGGGGAGTCCACTGTCCACTCATTGAATCAATATTTCATGAAACCTTTAAACGGATTTCGTGGAAAGCTTTTAACGCGTTATAATTATTTAATAAGGCAAAGGATTCTATTTATGTATTTGTCAAAAAGACGTCAAATTTTAGTTTATGTCATCTAAATCTTATAAAATGTCGCTAGCACTATCTAAAAACGTTCTAAAATTATCCTGGATTCGATGCAGAAACATTTCGACGACTAAACAACGATGCCGAAAAGTAACGTTGATTGGAGCTGCTGGAGGAATAGGAGCCCCGTGCCTTATGCTGTTAAAAATGAATACGATGATTAAAGAATTGAATGCTGTTGATATGAATAAAGTGATTCCAGGAGTTGGAATGGATGCTTCTCATATGAATTTTCCTGCAAAAACTAGAGGATTCGTTTCTCCCGAAGGATTACAAGAGGGTCTTTGTAATGCCGATATTGTTGTTATAACAGCGGGTGTGCCAAGAAAACCTGGGATGTCGCGGGATGATCTCTTCAAAGTTAACGCTGATATAATAAAAAGTACAGCGGAATGTTGCGCGGAAGTGTGCCCAGATGCTTTTGTCGTAATCGTTACCAATCCATTAAATTCAGTCGTCCCAATTTTTTGCAAAGTTATGGAAAAACAAAAAAAACTAAATCCTAACAAAATCTTTGGATGCACCACTTTAGATAACGTTAGAGCAAGCACATTTGTTGGTCAATTAAAAAATATAGATCCCAGAGAAATTTGTGTCCCCGTTGTGTGTGGTCATTCCGGAGAAACCATCGTCCCAATTTTTTCCCAAACCAAAGGAAAAATCAAAATTGAACTAAAACCAAACGAAGTAGCCGAATTAACTAAACACGTCCAAGATGCAGGTACCGAAATTGTCAAAGCTAAAGCTGGAGGAGGATCAGCAACGTTATCTATGGCATTCTCAGCGGCACGATTCACTAATAGTATCTTAAAAGCAATGAAAGGCGAAACGGATGTCGTTGAATGCGCTTACGTTAAAGCCGACATCGCTGGTTGTAAATATTTTGCAACGCCGTTAATTTTAGGACCATGCGGTGTTCAAAAAAACTTAGGAATCCCCGATTTATCAACTTATGAAAAATGCCTCTTGGAGAAAGGAATCGAGTCGTTAAAGAAAAGTATCGAAAAAGGAGAAGCATATGTAAAGTAATAAAATAATTTGATTTTTGTATTTATTAATAAACAACGGTATTGTTAATTAATTAATTTTTTTAATTAAATTTTTCGTTGATTCGAAATGTTTCCAATTTACATCGGTTGTGATTAAATTCCAAACACAATTAGAAAAAGATCGGTGGAAAATCAAAGGTTGCCACTAGGAACTGAAAGCACCCACTCGATTTTTCGACACAGGTACTGGGAATGTGGTCGAGTTACAATGGCCCTTCGCCCTTCTGTATAAAATGAAAATGAAAAGGACCTTTTTTGAATGGCACGAGGTGAAACCAACGGGAGTATTTGGGGGGAGGATCGTCAAGCGAACTGTAAAGTCATTTAAATTTTTTTTTGGAAAGGGGAAGATCTATTGTTGTCAAGTTAATAAATCTTTATTTCTTTACATAAAATTTTACAAGAGGTGGGTTTAATTTAGAATTTCAAGTATCAGTATTGAAATGTATAAAGGAACTAAAAGTTAGTTTCTTTTATTGAAAAGCTGCAATTTCCTTGTACAATTTCGTACCGATTAATAAAAAATTTTAATATTTATAATTTTTAAATTTCGTTTTAAAGGTACATATATTATTTGATTGAAATGGAACGAAAAGGGTCGAGTATCGGATTTCGTAGGGATTCCATAATAAACAAATAAATCCTGTATGAAAACAATTTGCGGACCTGAACGGGGGCCTTCGGTCAGCTTAGGTCGGTGCCGAGATTGGATCCTAGGATCAGTGGGAAGGGGGGGTAGAAACTTACTTTTATCGTAAATTTAAGTTGGGATTTTATCCCCCCGGTTCCGAGGCTGTTTTTCCCTCTCATCTCGGGTCGCCGGCGCCCAGCGCACGATAATTACCCGTAATAATAAGAAGGAGAGGCGCTGAGCTTAAATTATTGTAAAAGTTTTTAACGGAAAACCCTCGCCCGCAGCCGCTTTAAATAGGATTTGTTTTCGCTACTCTAATTGGGGCTTATTGCCGCGTTAATACCGGGGAGTTCTTTTGTTGTGCCATACAAAATTGTTTGGTTAAAAATTGTTTTTGGGATACACTTAATAAAAACACGCAATAATGTCCCCTCCAAAAAAAAATTCATTTCGCTTTTATTGAAAACTCATTCATTTCTATATAGACGGGGACCCCCTTTGACTTTTATTAATGATCATATGTATTTCCACACAGCGGAAAAGCAATAAAAGAACGAAATTAAAAACTCATAATAGTACCGTCGGGGATCCACATCCCTGCAATATAATTCTCCATTATTCCACCCTTTTCATCCTAAACCTAGCAGTTCTAGATTAGCTTTTTACGTAAAGCTCGTTAGTTTTACTTTATTTTTTTTTCCTGAAACTTTTATCTCATTAAAACCGTAAATAAAATATATCATCATGAAAATTGGACCTAAATGATATTGAGGACACCTGTAGGGCCTCTTTCTAATCTAAAACCCTTCGTGTAAGGAGGGTGACGACGCGACGTAACGGGGAATTAGTTAGAAACCAATATAATTCGGGATTTAATTCGGTGGGTGCTGGGCGAATGAGGTACTACTACGGGATTTCCTATACATCTATTAACAAAACTAATTTCGGGAGTCTCTTGATGTGGCTGCCCGCCCGGGGCCAAAACGTGCCAATCAATGTCTTCTTGCGTTCCATTTCGCATTTCGAAATTAACCGGCATAGGAAAGTTCCTTGGAAGCTTGAGGGATTTCTGGTCGCGAAGGGACAATTTCAAGACTAGTTTTAAACAAAGAAGATCTTTTTAACCATGAAATTAGAGATCAAAGACATTCATTTGGATCTACTAGCACACTGAAAGTTTCTTCACACTTTCTTCTCAAGTATTTGTGCTTAAAAATGTACTTATTCTTAAAAACGGTTTCTTTATTAAAAAGCTTAGTATAATTATTGCAAAAGAAATTGACTGAAAATTGCAAAGCTACATCTTAAAAATTGATTTCTTTTTTAATTGAAGATTAATTTCACCTTTAAAAAGGAATTGATTGATTTTAAAAGTTGATATCTCAAAAACTAAAAGATATTTTGAAAAGCGGTCTTTTTCGTTGAAAAGATTATGATTTTATTTATAAATGCTGATAATTTCATAACGATTTATTAAAACGCCGATTTTTTAAAGAATATTGAAAATTACAAGGCGATATCTTTTTAAATCGGATATTAACTTAATTTTAAAAAGCAGCGAACAAAAACATATTTATTAACAATAATGGATCTACAACTATGCTATAGGTTCCTTCTTTGAGAAGGAACCCGAAACCAAAGAATAATTGACGACCCACTGTTATTTAATTAATAAATATACATTTCGTTTAACAACGTTTACTAGATGTAATTTTATTACAAACTTCAATAATCAGAATCGGGTGGAATTGTGCTATAGATGTAATTTTCACCTTGTTCAACTTCTTTTTTTAAATCGATTATGCATGTTTTTAAAAGTTTCTCTTCGAATTCACTTAATGATGGTAAACCTAAATTTCTTTCGACACCGGCTTTACCGAGAATTAAAGGAGACGAAAAGAATTTGGTTCCGCAAATATCAGATTTGATGAATGCACAGTCTCCTATTTGAAGTTCTCCTGTCAATCCTTTTAGAATTGATGATGCTAGAGATGCGATTGCATAAGCAGTTGCCATTGACGTAGGTTGTGTTGGTTGCTTAATATCTTGAAATTTATCTTTTTGGATATGATTTGAAATAATTTCTATGGATTCTTCGGCAAAATCAAGTTTGGGTGTTGCCAAAGATAAAATTGGAACGATTGTTGTAGGGGATGCTCCTCCTATAACCGGAACCTTAACTTGTTGAGGGTCCAAACCCGTCCACTCCGCAATATATGAGGATGCTCTAATTGAACTCAAATTACATACACCAAAAACTTTGCTTGGATTTAACGTTCCTTGGTTCTCCAAGACTTTACAAAACAAAGGAACCATAGAATTAACAGGATTCGTAGCGATTATAAAACAAGCATTTGGACAAATAGACGAAGATAACTCAGCTAAATTTTTTATTATTTCATAATTTCCGTCCATAATTTGTTTTGTAGTCGTTTCAGGTGTAATCCGTACGCTATTTGCAGTTTGAATCACCAAACTCGATCCCCAAAGGGCTTCGTCGATTCCTTCAGGTGCAACGTAAGCGGTGACTTTAGCGGGAAAATTTAACTGGGACAAATCGTTTGCCATATTTAAAACCGATTGATTTTTATCGATTCCAACCAATTTAGTTATGAGAGGATTCATCTTCAATAACATCATAGTTGGGGCGCCGATCGCCCCAGAAGCCCCAACAACCGAAACTTTCATTGTACGTAGTTGCGTGAAAGACGTCAACTTTGAAATTTTGCCTATATTCAGGTTTATTTTTGCAAACATTTTGTAAATGAATCCAAGAGAAAAAAATTAAATATGAAAATGAAACGAGGAATTTTGACATTTACGTTATTAATCGAAATTGACATAAGAAGTTTTTGTTTTGTGAAGTGGCAGTCAAAACGTAATATTACATCGTACGAGGACCACTTGAGTTGTCTTCGAGACCGATATTAACCCCACCATAAGCGCCCGATTACTAATAAAGGGGCCCAACTTTCCTCTTTAATAACGAAGCGATGTTGTTCTACAGTGAAACACTTGTTATTGGGCTCCGGAAGGGTTGCAGTTAGTATACATCTGTTAGCGTATTTTAATACGGAAAATTTACATATTTCAATTTGCATCTCAGCCATAGCCGCAATAACGACCCGATATGTTCCGGCGAAGAGAAGTTTTAATTTTAATTTGAATTGAGAAGTTGGCGAAGTGGGTTTTAAAATTCCACCCTTGCGATTAAATGTTTAAATTAGATCTAATCTGATCTCCTGGCCTTGATTTACATCCCTTAGTTCACTTCCCTCGATCTCGGACCCTCCAATTAGTAATTAATTACTTTTTTTTCTTAAGACGTCTTAAGTAGAGATCCTTGATGAATAAGAACCCCCCCTTGAGTAGGCAAAATTAAATTTTTTTCCTTATATTTATGTATAAACTAAAAAGTAACATTTTTTTCATAGTAAATTATCTTTAGTGACGTTTCATTTTTCGTTTTTCAATTCCGTTAATGGTCCTTGCACGTAAACGGCCATAAATTGGAGAGCAAATTTTCCATTAGGCGCGTCGAACTGAACCAGTAGATCATCCGCGACCCCGCGTCGTTGTTGTTGGGGGTTAATTTACAGCCGAAAATATTACAGAACGATTTGTTACCGCCCCCGGCCACGCTACCGGCAAAATTCAAAATGCCCGCAATTAACGCCGGAATAAAATACGTGCGTAAACGCGCGTTTGATCGCTCTAATAATTTAAGAGGGGTCCAAACGAACCCCCGTGAAGTCCGAGTCTCATCCCTTTTCACGTTCGAGGGTGCAATTTAGATTAATGCCGGTCATTTATTGTTAGCGTGAACGTTGTGTTCTGATTACAAGCTTCTCAATTTGTTTCGATCTAATAGGTATTTGAGTTACACTTAATTATTGATATAACATTTTCTGAAAAACGAAGCTATTTTTAAAAACGGTTTCTTCCACTAAAAATCTGAGACTTTCTTGTATAATTTCACAAAATTGCAAGGCGATATCTTAAGAAATCGATTTTTTACGATTTTTTTAAATTCGATGAATTTCTCAAGCACAAAGGTACTCAACCCTAATCGGAAACAATTTCACCGAAATCCAAGGCAAACCTAAAATCTTGATACAACTTTGTGATCTTTATGCAGACTTAATGGAGCTTTGACACAGATTTTGCGATTTTGCTGATTAGTTTAACGCAAGTATGACAAAATTATTATACTGATTTGACTTTAAAATAAAATTGATGCAATGTTACGTAGTTTTAGAATTATATTAAATACTTATTCTTTGTTTATCTGTGAGGATTAATGAAGATTTCCTCTCTTAGTAATAGTCGCCTTTCTAGACACTATG